ATGTACATTGTGACGGTTAGCGTGTATGATTTTTTCACTGAAATGTGAGCTCCAGTGCTTAGAGAAGCTATGCACCATACGGAGGAAACCGTGAACCAAATTGCATTTCTTGAATTTTACCGCAAAAATAGGTCTGTCAAACAGTAGGTATACAGAAAAGTTACGTCTTGCAACAAAATGGATACTCGAATCGATAAGTTAGAAGTATATTGAAATTCCAGATAGACGCGGGTAAAACTGTTTAAGTAGATGAGGAGTTGGTTTACATACGATGGCCGCTTAACGGTGACAATATAAAGGATAAAATTTACTGAAATGCTCTATGCCACTGACCTCAGCGTCACATTCGCAACCCGGCCCAACGTAAAGCTGTATCTCAAAGATAAATTCTTCTGTTACTGAGATCGCATGTTGCGTTTATTTTAGCACTTGTCCCCGTTAGCCAAGATACATCGGTCTCCAAAGTAGACATCTGGTGCGCTCACGAGCAACATGTGGCTCGGTTGCGCACTGTAGTCACAATGTCAATCACAAGCATACTCTGTTCACTCCTTGTCAAGCCATGTCACTTGACCGGGCGTTTTGCCCCCTATAACATTTCCGTGAACAACAATCTCAGCGGATTAGTCATCGCCTCCTGACCACAGCGGAAGCAGTGAAAATTCGCATGCACAACTCCACTACTCGTGTGAACAAAAAAACAACTTGGGGAGCCATGAGATTCAATTATGCGGTCAGTTTTGGCCTGTATGGAATAATCGAAGAGTGAACCGAAAAGCTTTAAAGCATTTTAAAGCTATGTTGACCTGGTTAGATCTCCTCCGTAGTGAGAATCCAACTGATCACTGAACCACAGATGGGATGCAAGCATAATACCCGGTCGACCACCGGCAGGTGACCAGACCGCCTCTCATTTTGCTCATACAAAATATAGCATAACCCATCTTTGCAAGCACCGGTTTTTAGGTTCAGGACTCGGTTGAAAGTATTCCGAACCAGTATATTCAATTGTAATCGGATAATACAGTTCTTTACAAGGAACCATGTGAGAAGCCCTTTTTTGCTACAATTCCCAGTGAGAACGGCATTTGCTTTTGTTCGTATTTTTTGCCTTGCATGGTTTCTTTGAGACTATGGTGAGCGAGGCGGAAAAAGGCCATTTAAAAATGTCAAGATTTGAAGATTTGCCTACATTCAAAAGTCTATAGCGCATGCATTTTTGAAACTGAAAGCCTCTCCCTGTCAATTTACACATCCAATGATTAAAACCATTTCAGCAGTGATCGGTCTGAAAGAGGTTTGAAGAATAAAAGCATTAAATCGTGTACGATAAATAAAAACTCCATAATGAATCTTTCATAAGATTAAATCTTACGTTGATGCAGTTCGGCTTATTTCCTCTTCATGTTTGAATTAAAGTGACACGCATGAGAAACATCAATTGTTTGATATTTGAGCGATTAGCCTGAAATGAAATTCCTCTGATCGAAATATAACTGATCCAATGAAATTTTGAGCGGATTTAAGGAGAACAGTTGGTCGTTCGGAACCACGAACGTGAATATCGTGATAAAATGCAAAATTATCTGCTCCCCATTCGATCCGGGATGAACAAAAACGCCTGCATCACACACTTATACACACACTAGTACTCCTTACAGGTTAATGTACTAAACATCGCTGAAACAGAATTCGTGATTCACTCAATATAAAATTTGTATTGCAACAGTTTATCGATCAAAATGACCTGAGTGGAGTACGCAACTGAAAGAAATGGCCAAAGCAACGTAGAAAATCGATCGACCTACGTGTGCACGCAGTTCCATACTATTCATTCCAGCCACCCATGGCTGTCACTCAAACCCTTAGATGGTTCGGAGCTAGGCAATGCAATCCGACCTGATCAGTGACATCTATGCGCTCGGCATTAGTTATCAAATATGATGCACCACCCCTTATGCATTACATTCCGATCTGTCGTCGAACCGATGAGATGCGCATATAAGCATGTGACAGTAGTGTGTGCCGTCAATCAGACGTGTGCTCAATAGCTTGTCTCTCCAAAACGTGTAGATGTGGCGCTGGAATCCTGGTGCTACTATTACCACTACTGAAGAATGACAGATGCGTTCGGGCTGACCGATGCGCTTCGGTGCTTTAAACGCGTCCCAGAGAAGCTATGGTGTAAGCCCACTGAAGACCTCACTTGCTTATTGGTTCAATGAATCATCCTACATTGAATAAAACCTGAAAGGAGAATACGTTTGGATTCATGGAAATATTAGGAAGCGTGTGATATCTAGATCACATTAGATCAGCCAAACTTTCTGGTTTTTCACCAGTAAATCAAACTTTAAAATATTCATGAACTCGTCGGTTTCGGTGGTATTTAAGTCGATCCGGTGGTGATCAGTATCGAGAGCCGAACACAGTAACATGTCAGACTGCAAACTAGCCAATAGATATGATTTTAAGTACTACATATTTTTAATCTGCAATGTAAAATTATAAAATTCAGTGGGAAATGCTTTTTTATAGCCCACAAATTATACCGAATAAAATTTCGGTGTACAACCCAAACGAGACACCAACAAACGCAACTATAAACAAAAGCAGTAAAATGTGTGACGTCTACAAACCAATTGGGCCTGGAGCGTCTTTTGTGTTTCCCGGGACTGGTTCAAACTCCGCCTCAATTCTGCCTGAAGCGCTCGTTGTCGAGTGTCTTCTCGGGACAATTGACGCAATTTGACAGCCAGCTGTGCCGAGTCCTTCATTGTTTTGTTGATCACATTTTGCACACGTTGGGCCAACGACCGAGCAAAGGCGTACAGCTTGGGCTAAATGGGTGTGAGCGTGCATGATGGGCACAGAGTTGATCTGAACAGAAACCATTCGGCGATAAGATAAGCAAGCGATAAAGTTTAGGAAAAGTTGTTTTTAAAGACCTGATTGTTCCATATTGTTTTGTTTGTTCAAATAAATAGCTGGGACTGGATCTTTGTCCCGGAGTCGGTAAGAGCTTATATGCTTCAACTTTAACCAATGCCAAGTTTTGAAAATCAATTTCGGTATCTTTAACCTGCGGATTCATTCCCCTATTCAATTTTACTTCATACTGCTATAAGTTTAGTTGTCGTATACACGTTCACTCCAGTAGCCGTGACAAGAAAACAAGAAACATCTTAGGTTTAACGTGTTGACAAATTACTTCAGGACAGATTGAAACAGTAATCATCTCAAAACGACACACCAAAGCAATACAATCAAACCTGTTTTGCTTCATGGTCGTCACCGGAATAATCTTCACTTCGACCGAGTTCAACGCCTGGAGAACCGTCGGATCTGGACATGTCAGACCTGTCTATACACATCTGACTTTCTCCATTCTCCAATTCACTCACGATCTGATCCAGTTGTGACATATATCCAGTCAGGTGCTGCTTTGAATGAGAAAATAATATGAGAAACAGCCCAATGGTTAGGTAAATCGGTACCACTCAGAACAGATTGGTGAGAGTGAGAGAGAGAGAGAAAAACATTGGCGAGTTTCTAAGCATGTTTGCGCCTCGAGCAGAGAGTATTAAAAATAAAGGCAAAGCAAAAGTTTTCGATTCCTATGGATTATTACTAAATTTAGCATGTAATTGCGATCACGTATTCAACGTTTTCAAGATGGTATACAGTGTTTTTTTATTAAAAACAACATTTTAAATGACGAATCTCGATCGATTTTGTAGATCTGTAAACTGAGACATTACCAACAATGTAAGTCACTGCTAAGATCGAGTTTACCTTTCAATGGAGTATTAGATTTTGCCATTTACTGATTACCGTTATTTGCCGCTACTATCCAGGGTTTACAATCTCAGGATACATCCCTTTAAGCTGTTGCATCAGAACAGAGGGCTATACTGTCGGTTTTACTATTTCGGTATCAGAGTATGTACTGTGCGCAACTCTGTTTCAACCTCAACCTGTTTTAGCTCACGCCATTGCTTTGTTCAAGTCACTGTTCGATTAGGCGTTCAAACGACCAACTGTTCGACGCCCGTGACTGTACGTGCCTGTTTTTCACCATTATGTGTGTTGTATGGCAGCCCTTTGATTGGCCGCTTCCCCCTTCCTGAAAATTTGTATCCTTGTGTACTTAATGAAAGGAAGTAAAATGAAAGAGAGGAAAATGAAATGAATGAAAACTTAATTAAATTGGGCGGTGGTGGCCAAGTGGTTAGGTCACCAAACCGGGACCCGTAAGTCCCGTGTTCGAACCGCGCCACCGCCGCCCGTCTTCCCTAATTCTGTATTTCCCCAGACAGTCGTTACATGGCCGCAGCCCCCTTCCTGAAAATTGACTGTAAAGTTGTATATTCAATAAATAAAAAATGGAAGTAAAAAGATTTTTTTCATAGTATCATTCGATTCCAGCGTGTAAACGTCCTCTGAAGTTACCTATTCTTCAGCTTTGTAATTTAGCCCTAATACAACTTTGGAACTAAATTGGAACACTGGTGTTTTATACTAATCCTCCCCTCGAAAGTATCAAGCCAAACCAAGCTTACAAAAATTGGACCGGGGCGTATCTAGGTTCAAATAGATGAAGCTATCTCAATAGCCGGATATTCATGCAAGTAGCACTTGGGGATGTAAGAAAATCATTAAGGAGTATTGGAGTTACTAGCTAGAACTATATTCCGAAAATTCATTCTGAATACAGTCATGAAGCTGAGCTATTCTCACATTACATTAAGTAAACATAATAAGCACCGGTGAATTTGATGTACATAGGAATATCCTTTGTTCATGCACGATATGCCAATACGCACTAGTGTAGCCGTAACTCCTCGTACGGTCATTGCATTTCAATTGCATTCACGGAACCTGATGCTTTCAGTGGGCTCAAACGCTCCGGACTGTACGATATGGAACAAAACACGAAATCCAAAGATGGGATGGAGTTCGAGTCAAATATACGTTGTTTTTATGATGACTGACGAAACTCAGTTGATTCAGCCACGGTGTTGATGACAAGTTGTGTTTTGGTTTTGCTCTTCGTGACTAAAAACAAGGATAATTTGTCGAACACGATGCGGAAAACGGGATACAATAGGCGCAATATCAGGGCTAGCTTCTCCTTGATCAAAACGTGCTGAATGGACGTACCTCCACAATCCGTCGATACCGTTCACGCTCGTGGTGCGTTTTGTGCAGCATCATACCCAGTTTGTCTGCCTTCTGTAAGTTAATTGAGGCCTGATGTTCGGCATCTAGTTTTGCGTCCCGTGCAACTTGAAGCTATCATGTGTGAGAATGAAGTGCGTTTATGGTTAGATAAAATCCAAGTGAACATTCATTCATGTCACACAATTTTACCCTAATCAGACATGAAAGCTGAGCCCAAAGTACGAAAAGGGCCAAATGAACTGACTGACTATCACTGAAGATGACACCTCAACAAACATGAATTGGCCATTCGGTCCAGCCATGGTATAAGCTGGTTCGCACCGTGGTAACGCACAGGCCTTCCATGCGATTGGTCCTGAGTTCTAATCCCGAACGATGGATACGCACTACTGATGAGTTCTTATAAGAGCGAAACCAGAGTTTTGTGCTTCCCAATGTATGGTTGAATCCATGAACTGGGGATCGTGAGTGAAGGTGAAGTCCGAAGGAAATTCAGTGCAAATCAATCAATTAGGGAAACAATCTTACGACGCAACTGGCAAAAACGGGTATAGGCGCACTTTTTATTTATAAAAGGTGCAAAGTAAATTTAGTTGCCCAGCAAGAATGCTCATCCCACTGCTCAAACAGTAAACATATTTGTCTATAGGTCAATTTTCACGTCCCAGGGCACTGAACATTCACCAAAGACATATGGGCATACACTAACCCTATACGACATAACTGACATTACTTGCGTGTTTATGTGCGGCACTACCTTGACAATAAAAAATCACATAGTCGGTAAGTACAAGTAGGGCGTGAAAACCATGAATGAATACAACAATGGAACGATGCATAATAAAAAGAGTTACATAGGATTTAGGTTGATCGAACGGGATACAGTATAACAAAAAATACTGCAAAGTCTTTGTCGTCATCATAACGCCACAGAAGCTCAGGGTAATTGGAACTACGACACCCGAAAGATCAACTTCAAGTGAAACGTTGCAACTTCAGATGAAGCACACTCTAATGGAACCCTACAAAGTGATTTTTCCTTTGCCATTTTGGCTACCTAGTGGACCGGTTTTATCACAACGTCCATCCGGTCCCATTTAGCTGACTTCTCCATGAGTAAATAAGAGTATCTTTCTAGTGGGTCACCGTACCAGAATGAAGGTTTAGGTGGGGTGGGGTCTGACTGTTTGTGGCTACCCCCATCCCGGGAATGTTATACGTTTGACAGTTGATCAAACGAAATTTAGAGAAGAATGAACGAACCCGATAATTGACCTCGGTCGATGGGGCTATAACAGACAGCGTGTCAAGTTGGATTCACCTTGCGCATACATGATTGTTGACATGACTAGTTGCGTGAACGGCTTCAGTCTGTGTAAGAACATAATCCACACTTATATTTATCTCTCATGTTTTCTCCTCAGCCCCTCGCCACAAGCGAGCCACCGCTTAAGCTAGACCTATTGGTCTTATCACAGTCAAACTGTGTGCATAAAAGCAGTTAGTCCAAGCTCTCCGCACACCCTAGACCCAAATTAATCGTCAACACCAACCCCAGTGAAAATCGATTTCATCCAGACAATGTGTAGCAAGGTACAGCCCTTCTCCCCGTCTCAGATGACCTTTGACCGAACATCAATATCTATCTCCACCATCAACAAACCCTTAGTGTGTGAAATGCTATTAAGCCCACTCTACTTGCCGGCAATTCCTCGTCAGCCAAATCACCCAGGGTGATCAAATTTAGTTCAACGATGCGACAACTTATGGAGAAACCAAATAGAGTTTCATCTAGGCTTTATCATGTCTACTTAGTCTAGAACATATGTTCCCGGTCTTGCGAAGTGCTAATAACTCTTCATCTGGAGGGAAATTATCAAAACATCCAAATGATAACAAAAATACCTGTATTATTCATGACTGAAACACAACACATCATGTTGGAAAATCATGGTTACCAATCGTTTTGGGGGAACGCCAGGAAGAAATCACTCAAGGTTTTGACGTGTGACTCAACTGTCTGATTTTGTTCGAGAAACACCAATCGACACTTTTCGTTCGAAAAAAAATAGCGCCATAGCGCCATGACAGAGCCCCCAATTAGGAGTCTATGGTGAAAAGCTAACTTGATCGGTGGGGTTTAACCTTGTTCTCAAAACTGGATATCACACCGTTCCACTCAGAAGTCCGGTTGATGTGACCCGAAGCCCACGCAACTCAATTGTAAAGATGATGGCATGTTACCTCCAACATACTGGCTTCGTCTTCCCGAATCGTGAGTTTGGTGCAGTTTCTAGCACTTGCTATTTGCACTACACAATCTGTCAAATACGACAATCGTTGTAACTTCAACACACTTGTTGCCTGATTTGACGAGGCGTTTAACACCTGGCTCATACCTTGATCAGACAGATATCGTCAGATTAGTCATTTATTCTTCAAGTTACACATATGTAGGTTCCTCAAATAGTTATGAACAACCGGCGTTGATCGAATAATTTCTCCAACAATTTAACGAAGCTATATGAGACGGAAGATTGTCATACTGCACAAAGCCCACTTGTTCCTGTTCGATTTGAACGTATTGAACAGGTGGGACTTTAGGACACGGGTAGAGATCGACAGCACAAAGGTAAAATATTTTTTTCACTGATTCTCTATGACTAGCATCACAATGTATATTTGTTCATTTGAGTCTCGCACAATCCTTCATTGCTTACAACCTTAAATGACCGCTACCTATAGTTCCCTTTGCTTCAGAAAAATAATATACAATGCACCTAGATTTGAACAAAAAAAGGTTTTAGTTTCTTTGTAGTATAGAGGTTTCCTGCCTCAGATATATCCACAACAATCAATGTGGAATGCAGCTTTTTGCATTAATTTACGATGTACGAATTATGTCTGTTCTACAGCGAGGTCCGATCGATCATCAGTTGCAGTGAATCTCAGAATTGTGATGATGCCGTAGAGATTATAGTACTATCAGATTAGATCCATAAATAGTGTTGAGGTCTTTTGTGATCGCACTTGGTTAGATCGTGAAATTCACTGCACGGAGTAGGTCAAGTTTTAATCTCAGTCAACTGTGGTATGCGTCGAGAGAACCCTATCAAGAACACAACCCTCAGTGGTTCTGTCTTTTCCTTACACCTGCCCTCAAAACGGTTTTACATTTTGTTTCATTACTCTTACGGATGGACTTCAGGATCCTCTACATACTCTTTGAAACATCTTATTCAACTTATGTAACCCATACACTTCGTACATGGGGCCTGGTTTGCTTGCTGTTTTCTGTTTAACGTTCGCATTGATGCTTCTCAACCACAACTATTTATTGATTAATTGATTGATTAGAACTGACCATCCTTCAAACCTCCCGTTCACGCACATTTCCCAGCTCTTCCAGTCAAACATACACTCGGAAGCACTAGACTCGCGTTTCGCTCTTATTAGAGCTCGTCAGTAGTGCATATCCACCGTCCCGTCCGGGATTTGAACTCCGGACTTATTGCACCGAAGGCGAGCGCGTTACCCTTATTCCAACCAGCTCATGCCAGGCCTGAACCGATATAACAATTTATGTTTGTTCAGGTATCGTCGTCAGAGATCGTCAGTCAGTTGAATTTGGCCCAATAGCAACGAAGGGAGACACTACATACAAGTAATTGTGAGTTAAATGCGAATGACTATCTAAATAGGATTTCTTTTGCTCTCCTAATTTTGGCTACGGTCGCTACGGTCCATCGGAAGTCAATCGTCTGAATTTGCTGACAAACTCTAAAATCTGTTATTATTTCGGCTATGTTTTATTACTGTAATCCTTATATTGTTCGAAAATGAAATTATCTACCTTGCTGTTCGGCTGAACAAAGTTCCCAGTCCTTTTACGTTCTTGTGTTGAATACAAACAACCTCGTCTTTTTAATTCTACAGTAAGATTGAGATGTGCTCACGTTTTCCGTCACTTTCTGAGTTCATTCACGAAACCATGGAACGATACTTTCCGCCCCTGTAACTTGTGGGCTAAACCATTATTATTATGAGCAGTGAACGGGTGGTGAACAAGGCATTTGGACGATTTCTAGTTGTCGCGGATAGAGGCGTTCAGAATGTGCATGTCAGATGATAGTGCACCTTGCGATTGGACGCTTGAGTGTGTATGTGTGTATGTGTAAAATCACTTATATTTGCTACTATGATTAGGATGCACTCAATGAGGATTAGTCACGCACACACAGCGAAGAAGCACAAAAGCCATTGAAAAGAAACGGTTTGCTTCATCACACTTTTCAGTGGATTATCAATTTACAGATAGTGGCCCCATCCAAAACTCAGGTTTTTAGATTTCACTAAGCAGTCCCACAAAACGTGTTCTAGCAAAGAAAGCAAGTGTGACTGCCATAATAAACCGGTGAGCGGACAAAATAGATCCCTGTTTCTATACGTAACGGAGCGCTGCTTCAATGCACTGGTGCCACCGTTGAAGATTAGATACATCTATGATTACGTCGGAAAAGCCTGTGGTTCAAAGTGAGCAGAATAGTCTGCTTGCCTTGCTAATGGTTTATTACGATTATGGGCAAAGTATACAAACACGGCCAAATGTGACGGCAATCGCCATTTTGAGAATGACTGTAATCGGTATGATGAGTGGTGTCTGCTTGAGTTATGCCGTAAATCATAAAACAGCAAGCTTAGAGACTAGACAGAAAATTATTAGGTCATTCTAAACGTAAAAGTAATAAGACACGTCAGAATTTCTGTGAAACGCTACGCAAAATAATGAAGCTATGGTCGCAGATGTCCGGAAGTGCATACTAGGTAACTGCTACGGGAACAAAGGAAAACACTGATTGGGTTATGACAATTTGGATATAAACAGCACAGGCTCGAACTCCGTCTTGATGACACCATGCGGCACAGTCAAAATCCAATTGAAGGCCTTCGATTATAAATCATGTTGATTGTTAGGTGAGCCAGTGCTTCTATGTTCAGGCAAAGTTCAAAGGATATTTCATAAAAATTCAAAATCCCCACTAATGAAAGATTATGCGTATAAAAAAGGCGGAGTTTTCTTACAACTATGGCGGATATCACACACCACTGATCATGAATTTTCGAGCGGTTCAAAGTTATTTTATTCCAACTCGAATATACTATATATTTTGGTATCATTCATTCGTAAATAAAACAATAACGATCACAAATTCATACCTGTTGAACTAAGGCTTGGTTTCTTTGACGTAGAAAAATAATGGGATCAATTGATTGAATCGGCTTTGGGTCAATGCCATGCCGTTTGGAGATTTCGGGGGATCTTTGGTAGAGAAAGGTAATATCGAAAATTAAATGCATCGCACTCAAAATATGTGCATACTTATGACCCAGTCTGGTCAATTGATTCACACTGCTGACAAGATCTAACCAGACTAAACCATCTGTCCACTTCTTCCCAGCTTGTCTGTTCACGCATCGTTTGCGCTTCATATGACGAAATTCGCTATACAGTATGAAACATTTGTTGATCACTTCTGCTTCCGATTGGAATGTGATTACCAGTATCGATGGTCACTGGCATTGCAGTTTCCGGAGGCTACCTCAAGTCTATGGTCAGTGTAGCTCCACATCACAGGGCAGCAATGGGACAGCAACCTCTTCATGTGAACGACTCAAACTAACGCAGCTTGGATTCACTGAAGACGTAGTCGTGGACCATCAGGCGGGTTTCCATCTGACGAGCAATGTCTTTTGAACATAAACGTGCAGATGTTTACGGAAAACATTGTGACCAATCTCAGTCCGCCTGTTGTTGATGTTGCGCGTAATTCTCCAAGTGTTAAACGCGCACCCTCGAAGAAACAGGCCAAAAGTTACCTGGAGGCTACTAATTTGTACTTAACACCCAAGATTCGTTGCGAATGATTCCAAGAAGCTTATTTATGTTGACAAAGTATTGAAAATTGGTTCTTATAGCTCGGGTGAACTGAATTCTTATTTATTTACCTTCATGCAGGAGAAATTAGACTGACGGTTCATACATTCGTAATAAAAAACACTTATTTCTATTACAAAACCATGACATTCTATTAACGGATAGAAAGCAATATGACAGACGCGCTGGGATCAGCATGTTTGTGTTTTTATCAGTGAACAAAATCAATCGGTTGGTGTGCCAAAACCTTCATTGATTTCTACCACGCCAGTTTCACACTCGGAACTGATGGGCCTACAAGCACCGTGACTGTGCCGGTCAAGTTTGTTCGCTAGAAGCCAACAATATAATTTTGGTATGAGTTTGAAAACTAGCTCAGTCCTCTGGTGGATCATATAATTTGCTGACAACTATCCTACTAGTTCAAGTGTAAAAAAGATTTTTTTTGCGGATGATCAATAAGCTAACCAACACCACTAAACAAGGTTCTCGTACTGCAACATGACGGCACACCTTTTATCAAACTTTACTGTAATCACATGAAAACCTCATCTTCTATTACATACGCCATGAAAACCATAGGATCACTTGTGTAACTAGAACAATTAGATTAACATGAGCTCACAGACTGGACGTTCAAAAAAAATGGAAGAACAATTGTATCCGTGGAAAGTAATCATTTATGCAAACGCAAAACGCAGGACAGTAAGCTTGAAAAATGAGTAATCTAATAGACCAGGGGGGATCAGCTTACTCAGAAGAATTATGATCCGAAACACAATCACTGGTTTTCATGTGTGTACTTCCGAACTTTGGCGGGGAAAGTTCACAAAGCGGTGTTGTGCTTCGCACACCAGGATCAATGGAGCTATCGCATTCCGGACGGGTTTCATTGAAAAAACGACGACAATCAGACAGTTCTTCCACCTCTTCGGAGCTCGCTGAACGGTTTGAAGTGAGGAATTTTGCTGTGGAGCTGTATGTGCAGGTGTGAGAAATATTTTTATACGACGTAATTAGTTCATTATTTATCATGTCTCCTTTAAACCTAACGCTCACTGATACAAGATTAGTGTCATTTAACCAGAAAACACTCATTTTTTACGTCTTATGAGATGATTCACCGAGGGTAATATCATTCACTCTAAAGAAAGTTCGGTGAACATTCACTAATTAATGTCACAAACACAAACAAATAAGACAGCTTATTTACAAGCGTATCCGAAAAAGACTCATGTATATGACCTTTTTGCTGATTTTCTACTGTCGTTGTCTCATTTATTAAAAGGTGGAAAACGGCATCCTCCCAGACTAGGGTAAACGTCCGTACTTCTAATGAGTTCCTCTCGATGAATCGTTCTTAGCATCCATGCTGCTCAAGATCATTACAGACTTTGGATACTCCATCCAAAAAACTGTATTCTTCACACACATGAAGGCACACATGCTTCTTTGTAACCCA